ATCAGATCTAGACAAACGGATGTCAGATTCGTGATCTAGGTGACAAGGACTTTCGTAATATGACATTTTTAGAGTGCGTTAAAAATGGTCATTTTGGATCACCCCCTTTTCTATTTTATTTATTTACAAATAAAACAAAATTTCAGGTGAACAAATCTTAAATCCATTTCAATGTTCATATCGTGGTCGTGTTCTTTATCATTATCCGAATGACGTATTAAATAATCCGTTTGATGAAGATGCTATTAGTCGATTATCAATGCCAGATGGTGTTTCTATTCGATTAAATTCTCCTGATCCACCAACAACACATCCTTTTTTAATAACACGTCTTGATGGAACACGTTATTATGGTGTTGCATTAACATTTTATGAACAATTAGATAATAATAATGATGATGAAATCTATACAGAAAATTCATCTTCAACAGCATTTATTTCTTTAAATCGTTTAATTGAAAATTATAATCGAACAAGTCGACATCAACAACGTCGATCATCATCATTAATAATTTATGCAAGCAAAGTTATTTGTTTAATTGGTCCATTAGCTCATTATTCAACATTTAAACGTATTTTAGAACTTCTTTATCGTATGACAATTGAACATGATCTATTAGGTTTACCATTTGAAGCACATTTATATAATATATTACATGAATTACATATACCATCTCCATCATTATCACATTCAGTTTTAAAATTTAATGTAGGTGAAAGACAATTAACTGTTTGGCAACCAAGTATAAATGATGATGATTTACCGTTATTAGATTTTAATTTATTAGAATTTTTTTCATTATTGGGTGTTGAAGGTGTTATTGATCTTGTTACATGTGCATTATTAGAACATCAAATTATTCTTAAATCTTCAGGTATTGATTTTTCTAATTTATAAATAAATTATTTTTAATTGAATTATTTAGATTATACTCGTTTAATGCTTGTTGCTGAATGTTTAACAGCATTATTATTTCCATTTCAATGGACACTTCTCTATGTTCCAATTGTATTTACTGCTGCACTTGTTTGTCTTGATGTACCAGTTCCGGCAATAATGGGTCTCCGTATAAATAAATCAAATGCAAATAAAGATAATGATAATGATGGTGATGATAATGCTGATGATGATGATGATGATGGTTATAGTGATACAAGTGATGATGCAAATTTTGAAGTTCAACGATGTGTTGTTCATATTGATACTGGACGTATTCAATTACCTGATGATATGCCACGTTTTCCTGATCGTTCTTGTTTCCGTAGTGAATTACATGATATTTTATCACGATTTGATAATTATTTTAATCGTGATTTAACAACTGTAGATTATTTAAAAAAACAACGAAGAATTCAAGGTAGTGAAGATTGGACACATGTTGATAATCAACAAATAAAAAATGAATCAAAAGATGAACCAAGTCAAGCATTAACAAGATTATCTGCTATAGCTAAACGTGCTGGAATTGTTCTTAATAATAATGAAGATGATAATAGTAATGAACCATTATGTTTATTTAATGAATTTGAAATTAATCAAATCTCAGCAAATAATTGTTTACGTTCATCATTTGTAAATCGTTTTGCTCAATTATTTAGTCAAATGGATGCATTTATATGTTATCCACCATCAGGAAAATATGCTAATATTGATCAATGGTTAGCACAACGAAGTACAACAAAAAATTTTGATCGTACAATGTTTATTGCTGATCAACCTAAACCACATGTGCCATTTTTACTTGCCTTTATGGAAACACAATCATTTGTTTCATTTGTTGATAGTAAAATTGCTGCAAGATTCAATGAAGATAATCTATGTTTTGGTTTAACACATAAACATTTACAAGTAAATAAATAAATAAAATTATTTTTTATTTAACTTCTGTTTTTTTTCTTCTAAGTTTTTTTCTGATCGTATTCGTTTATATCGTGATCGTCGTGATTTAACTTATCAACCATGTACATCGATTGATTTAATTGATAATAGAACACGTCTTCGTTTTACTTCACCATTTCCATCATCATTAATTATAGTAAATGCATCTATAGTTCGTCCATTGAATACTTCAATATCAACATCGAATAATTGTTATCTATTTGAAAATCTTAATGGAAATATACTTGAATCATCATCATCCGTAGCAGTAAATATATCTTCGCCATTATCTAGTGGAATTTCTAAGAGAAATTCACGTTTAACTCGATCATTTCAAAGTAAACATACACCAAGACGTGTTACAAGAATTAAAAAACAACAGACACTTGCAACAGGCGAACATCAACAACCAGTTGTTCTTGTTGAAAATGAAGTTGTCTTTCAACAATTACTTAAAGAATGTACTACGAAAGTAAATAGAATGATTCAATAAATAAATAAGATTTTTTATTTTATTTTTTTAAGACAAAACGAATGGTTATTGAAAAAATGGAAGATATTGTTGAAGGTTCATCACCAATAAAAAATAATGAGTCAACATCAATGGTTAATTTAGAAGAAAATGTCTTAATAGCTGGTTTCTGTGATTTACTTGAACGTATTTGGTCACATGGACTTCATCATAGACCAAGTGGAAAATCTGCATTATGGAATCATATTAAATGTTATGTTAAACTTAAAAATTATGAATCAGCACAAATATCTCATGGTGGACTTCCGGTAAATTATACAAAAGATGAAAATCCAGGTAATTTTTCAATAAAAAAAAAATAGTTTTAGTTAATATTATTCAATTTAGCATTAGTTTGGTGTTTAATGAGAAAACAATTAGTAAATCGTAGTGTATCAGCGACACGATCAGAATCTCCCGGTGGTCATCGTAAGTAAAATATTTCTAATTCTTTTTCTTTGAAACTATATTTATTGTCTAGGTTCTCATACTCTTCCACGTCCTCAAATGAGTCAACATCAACCACGTTCATCACCTATATTATCAATGACAAATTCAACATTAAGTCTTCTTCCATCCGATAATCTAATGAAAAATCATCCATCCAGTACATCATTACTTTATGATTTTCGTTCCATTGAATTATGTTTTGGACACAATCCAGTGTCTCTCTCAGCATCTGAAATAGGTTTTGCACGTGCATTTGTTCGCTTAGCACTTGAACGTCGTCTTCTATCGCGCCATTTATCTGAATTATTCTCTCATAGTGATCTATTACAAGCCTTATATAAACGTGATGCATTTTTACGTGCAGACGATGGAGATCTACGAAAACAATTTTTAGCACATGTTGAATCTCTTCAATTACTTGATTATAAATGTTTTTCAAATTCATATGCAGACATTGATATTATTTATCACGTTACCATTGTTCCAACTCGAGCACGAACAACAGGAATCTCTAGTACAACAACGGCTAATCCATATATTGCTGTAGCTGGAATTTTGGGATCAACAAAAGTTATACCTTTACCATCAAAGAATACACCTGAAGTTAAATTTAAAGTAAAATATTCATTCTATATAAAACAAAAATAAATAAGCATTTTTTTTATTTCAGCATAAAAATTTAGGTCAATTAACAACACTTCGAATAGGACATGATAATACTGGTTTAATGCCTCGATGGAATCTTGATCATGTTCTTGTTCGAAATCAATTAACTAATAATGTCTATCGGTTTGTATTTTCTCCATCCATTTTCTTTTTCTTAGTATATATATTTTTGTTTTATTTGAAAATAATAGATTTCCATGTGGACGATGGTTAGGTAAAGGTGTAGATGATGATAGTTTGGAACGACTTCTTTTTGTTGATACAACGGGTTCATTTGAAATGAATGACAATCCTACGAATGGAACGTTTGAATCAGGATCACCATCTCAATTAATGACAACAAGTATGATCAGTGGTGGATCTCAATTGAATCTCTCAGTTGCAGGACGATCTCGATCACCTAGTTTACGACGCGCCAATGATCAAAGTAAGATATTTTTTTATTTCGTTATTTACAATCATATTAATATCACATGACCATCCCCAACAGATTCTGTCTTCAGTTGGTTTTCGGAAAATTTTCATCGTCGTAAGAATTGCATGAAAGAATGATTCTATCTATTTTCCTTTGACATACCAGCACGATCGCTGCTACTGATTGACCAATACTCATTTTTTTTCGTCTTTTCATTGACGAATTCTACATATATGTATAATTTGATTTAACCTTCATTTAGAAAATCCATCAAATCAACAAGCTGATGATATCTATGAATTATTAGGTCGATCTATTAATCAACTTGTGAAATATTTTGATGACCCTGAAAAGAAAGTAAGTGAAAGAGATTCTGTTTTTTTGTTCATTTAAAAAACTAATTTATAATTATTTAGAGAGGATTAATAACACCAATATTATGTGGTGAAGATGGTCTTGTTAATGCATTAGAAAAAACTCTTTCTTATGGTCTCAAGAAACCCACTAGTAATTTATCATTTTTTGGTGGTGGACGAAAACGTTATGTGTGGGACTTTTTAAGTGCGAATTCTTAAATTTTTCTTCGGAATATTTATTAATATTTTTCAATTTAGTTAAAGTATGTGATGAATATGATGCCCGTCGATCTCAATGGCAACGTTCGGAAAGGGAAAAAGCTATTATATGTTATATAAATGGTGTTCGATCTATTGAAAAAGCTCTTGCTACATTTGGTAAAGATGGTCGATTTCAAAGTTGGTGCTGTTTCGCGTGCAAGTATGTATCAAATTCTTTTATTATTATTAATCATTATTTGAAATTTTTCTTTTTTTTTTTGTAGACTTCATTTGTTATCAGATTGGTTTCGATTATTAAGTCAATGTAGTGATGCATGTCTAACACAATTTTATGATCCATTAAATAATTGCTTTCGTCAAAAGAAACTAAATCAATTTATTAACAATATTTTAGAGCCTGTTAAAGATTTCGATTTTGCTCATTTGGAACCAGCATTACTTAAAGGTCTTGCTGGTGTTTAAATTATATTTGTCTATCTTGATAGTGTGAAATATTTTTTATTGTGTTTGTCTGTATGTTAAGTCGAACAAACAGTGATATACACAAAAAACCGAATCGGCCTTATCTTTGCAATAAATATTTATTTTCTCTTTTTCTATCATGTTTTTTCTTGTTCTTTCTCTATTTTCAATCTCTAAATATATGTCTGAAGTATTTCACTGACATTTTCTTATTTTAATCAATATCAGAACATGTACCTATTTATTAGTATGCCCGTCAGTAAGACGATATTGATTTTGAAACTCATTTCGATATACCTATATATCAAATGTTATCAATGGCCATCGAAAAACAATCGCCAATAGTAATAATCAATAATAAAATTGTAATAGAACCAAGCCAATTAAGATCACTGAAATCTATTTATGCGAATGCTATTGTTGTAGCTCATTGACTCATACCGGGTGTTCCAAAAGTTTTGCGACATTTTGTATTTTGCATATATCTCGCCA